TACCCCATGTAGTCTCAAATCCTGCCAGATAGTCATAAATCTCTTCACCTGATGATGGTTGTGGCATAAAATCGTGCTCCTGTTGATTGTTGAAATGTTTTTTTCTTTTGCGAAAAGGATGTTCAAGTGGTAGGAATCTTCTATGCCCAAGGAAGCATACTTTTTTGGACTTTGGCAGCCATTGTGAACAAGTATTCTTTGAACATATTGGACAAGCATAATAACCTTTGGTAACACAACCCGAAAGATTACCATACGCGGGAAAATCACTTATAGTCCAAAGTAATATTGCTCTTAAATTGAAGTATTCTTTCTTATGAGAATCAAAAGTCTCAACGCCAGTTTCCCACAAGAGCTTTAGATCTTCTATCAATGGTGCCAAGTAGACATCAATATTGTTACCAGGTTGGTTTGGCCCGGATATCAACAGAGTCAACATCATGAATTTTCTTGACATACACAAATAAGGGGGTAGATTATATGTTATTAGGATAACCGGCCAACAACTATGCTTGGAACTTAATGACTTGTGTGGATTGATACCATCAGCAGACAAGGCTAATCTAAGATTTCGTTTTTCCTGTCCGAATTCTTTCCACGTGTTATCAACAAGCTTCCAAGAAGGGGTATCACGAGGATGAGTAAGCTTCCCACTATTGACCCGACCTTGTGCATGCCAAGTTAAGTCATGTGCAATTTGTGGTATTGAAAACATTCTTCTAAATCTAGGAATGATAGGAAAATACCACAAAACTTTTGAAGGTACGTTTTTGGAATTCTTCTTCCAACGAGAAGTGCCACAAGTTGGACATTGAGAAGCATCTTTATGTTCTTTCCAGAATAGAACACAATCATTTTCACATGCATGAATCTTCTCATATTGTAGACCTACTGCTTTTAGCAACTTCTTGGACTCATATATCGAGCTAGGGATGGTATTGTTTGATGGTAAGATATCTTTTAGGACAGACAAGAAAGCATCAAAACTAGCATCAGACCATCCAAATTGACCCTTCAAATGTTGGAATTTCAATAATCCACTAAGTGCATTATACTTCGACCCTACATAAAGTGGCTTATCACACTCTTCAAGAAGTGATTTCAACGAATCAGGTTCATCGTCTACGTATTTGAAGGCATCATGAAGCATATCCTTTGTATAAATAGCATCAGGAGGAATGGAATTGTTAGGGCATCTAGAATCACTATTGGGTTGTTTTTCTCCATGGAAAGACCAAATCTTATAATTCTCATCGAAGCCGTGGGCAAAAAAATGATAACGGACATTGTCAATTGAGTGGTGACACAAATTGATGCAATTTACACAAGGGCATGGAATAACATCTAACTTTGGATTATTAGTTTTTGCAAACTCTAGAAAAGCATTCACACCTTCATCATATGCATTTGATAATCTACTAGAGGATATCCATGATTTATCCATTAAACATTTGTTGCCAACCTACATAATTATTTACCATATAAAGCAATAATGATTACGCATGTTTAGGGACAAAAACTATGCAAAAACAAAACTGTACAGGGCCAAAACTATACAGGGACAAAAAAATTGTACAGGGGCCAAAACTGTACAATGACAAAACTGAAGCAGGGACCAAAACTGTATAGGTTATCAATTACTTTTTCAGCATCCAGTTACTTTTTCAGCTTGTTTGAATATTTTTATGTGTTTGTTATAAAATTTTATGAACTTTTACAAAAATTTGAAAATTAGAAATACTTTTAAAATTTTGAATATGATCTTTTGCAGAAATTTGAAAGTTAGAAATGGGCTAAACAGGTGTCCAACACAAAACCACCTGCAAACCCGTTACTTCATAATTTATGTGTTTGACCTTTTTACCCTTGGGTGGTCAATCTGTTTAAACTTAGCTTTATTTTTCAATATGTAATTAGCTAACTGTAATATTTTCTTTAATAAATACAGATTGCTCCAAGCCCAATCTTACAAATATAAATACATGCATTTGATATTTGGTTTCACCTATTTTTAAGAATGGGAATTAGTGAAAGTTGTGTTAGTTAGATAGAAAGTAACTGCCATAATTAGGTATTAATGTCAGTTGACAGTTACATTCTAAAAATGTATAAATATTTATGTTTGATGTTAATTGTGATTAATACTGCATAAGAACTTCCTATAGGTATGGCTGTTCTTTGTTGTTTCTTTCTTTCTTTCTTTCTCTTCTGTCTTTGTTGGTTAATGAGTTGATGTTTCTACTTGTTTCCATTCCTGATTTAATGTGGCAGATTGAGGTTAGTAAAATTTTCATCACACGTCGATTAATTATCATTTTATTATTATTTAAAGATGATTGAATTCATTTGTATGAATCCTGTGAAAGGGTGAGTACCTAAGATCTATAAAAGATCTGTTAGAAAAGGTTGTTTTTATTATCTGTTCTGTGAAAGGTAAACTCTCTGTTTCTCAAGGTTGTTTTTATTATCTGTAATAACTTTAGTTATAGATTAATTATTGTTTTTGTTATAATATGATTGAATTGATTTGTATGAATCCTGTTAAAGGGTGAACATGATGGATCTGTTAGAAAAGAAGAGGTGCAGGTGTTATATGTATTGCTTGTAGAGTAGCAAGAAGCTTTTGGATGACATTCTTTTTAATCTCATTCTGTGGAGCTATATGTTATATGTATTGCTTGTAGAGTATGTACAATATATGTTAGGCTTTTGATTATTTTTAATGTTAAGTTAAATAGGCTTGGATATTTTAAACGAATATTCACAAAAATGAATTTTTAATCAAAATAATATAATAGAATCTATATTAGAAAATGAAAAATAAAAAACTTATGTACCCTAGAAAATAGATAGATTAAAAATAAATACCTTTATGCACCCTAAAAACTGTACAGGGCCAAAACTATACAGGGACAAAAAAATGGTACAGGGGCCAAAACTGTACAGTGACAAAACTGAAGTAGGGACCAAAACTGTATAGGTTATCAATTACTTTTTCAGCATCCAGTTACTTTTTCAGCTTGTTTGAATATTTTTATGTGTTTGTTATAAAATTTTATGAACTTTTACAAAAATTTGAAAATTAGAAATACTTTTAAAATTTTGAATATGATCTTTTGCAGAAATTTGAAAGTTAGAAATGGGCTAAACAGGTGTCCAACATAAAACCACCTGCAAACCCGTTACTTCATAATTTATGTGTTTGACCTTTTTACCCTTGGGTGGTTAATCTGTTTAAACTTAGCTTTATTTTTCAATATGTAATTAGCTAACTGTAATATTTTCTTTAATAAATACATATTGCTCCAAGCCCAATCTTACAAATATAAATACATGCATTTGATATTTGGTTTCACCTATTTTTAAGAATGGGAATTAGTGAAAGTTGTGTTAGTTAGATAGAAAGTAACTGTCATAATTAGGTATTAACTGTCAGTTGACAGTTACATTCTAAAAATGTATAAATATTTATGTTTGATGTTAATTGTGATTAATACTGCATAAGAACTTCCTATACGTATGGCTGTTCTTTGTTGTTTCTTTCTTTCTTTCTTTCTCTTCTGTCTTTGTTGGTTAATGAGTTGATGTTTCTACTTGTTTCCATTCCTGATTTAATGTGGCAGATTGAGGTTAGTAAAATTTTCATCACACGTCGATTAATTATCATTTTATTATTATTTAAAGATGATTGAATTCATTTGTATGAATCCTGTGAAAGGGTGAGTACCTAAGATCTATAAAAGATCTGTTAGAAAAGGTTGTTTTTATTATCTGTTTCTGTGAAAGGTAAACTCTCTGTTTCTCAAGGTTGTTTTTATTATCTGTAATAACTTTAGTTATAGATTAATTATTGTTTTTGTTATAATATGATTGAATTGATTTGTATGAATCCTGTTAAAGGGTGAACATGATGGATTTGTTAGAAAAGAAGAGGTGCAGGTGTTATATGTGTATTGCTTGTAGAGTAGCAAGAAGCTTTTTGGATGACATTCTTTATAATCTCATTCTGTTGAGCTATATGTTATAAACGAATATTCACAAAAATGAATTTTTAATCAAAATAATATAATAGAATCTATATTAGAAAATGAAAAATAAAAAACTTATGTACCCTAGAAAATAGATAGATTAAAAATAAATACCTTTATGTACCCTAAAAAATAGATAGATTAAAAATAAATACCTTTTCTTACCTGAGTATGTGGAATATCAGTGTAATTTATAGCAGAAACTGTTGCTTTATCACCCTTTGAGCCTGCAGCAAGTAACAAAAAAATTGTAACTCATTGTAACTATATGCATATTGCAATGCACAATCACTCATAAATCCAATTAAAAAGATTTTTAGTTGTTAAAATCGCCTAAGAGCTTTCTAAAACTCGAATGTTGTAAGTTTCTTGAGAAGACTTCATTAAAGTAACTAAAAATCACGTTTTCATAAAGCAAGCAATGCTGTCAACTCAGAAATCATGCCCATTTATGCTTTAGTGTGACCATGAAACACTCCACAGTCAGATTATGTCAAAGCCTAGAATCATCTCATTCATCAATCCTATTATAAGTATACAAAATGCAAAGCTAGAATAGTAATTTTTGCCATGTAAGCTAATTTTTTTGGCAGTGCCCATCATACCTACTTGCATGGGAAACCAAGGAGATCAACCTTCTAAATGACTAAAAGTAGGTTCTACTCCTAATTGCATTTGATCATAAGTGAAAATGTTTCTTGTAGGAATAAATTAATAAGTGGAGGAGATACTAACCGTGTAAGATGCACAGCACCAAGCCACATACTGGTGTAGTTACCACCCAGATCAATGCACTTTTAATCCTCTTGCCAATAGTCCTACAAGCAAAAATAGTTAGAAGCATAAATACATACACTTTCAATGTTTAATATGCTCTAATGATGTGGGCCCCATTAGGACAAGACACAACATCATAAATTTATGTTGATTACCAACAAATGATGTGGTGTTTGTATTGAACAGGTTGAACTAATGCGTGGTTTAGAAGATAGAGATGATGAATACAAGACAATGTTAAATGAGAAGCTTCAAGTTACAGATGGCAGTGGTTTGATACAGGTGTACAGAAAAGAATCGACTTTATTTTTAACAAGATGAGATGAATATTTTGTTTGTTTGTAGCCAGAAGATTTGTTGCAATAAAATCAGAATTTTCTTTAGACAGCAGTTTTGTGTTTGTCTTTTTTTGCAAATTATGCACCTATTTGAAACAAAACAAAACAAAATGCTGAAGGTAGTCATCAGAAAAGGTAGGCATTAGGCAAAGGGTAATCGGGTCTTTGTTGCGTTGGGTGTTACATTTTCACTCCTGAAATTTTTTGTATGTGATGAAAATTGAAAGGGATTATTTTTTTTTGCATAAAATACTTGAGGCCTGAAGTATTTTAACAAAAAAATATATGTAAGAAAGTACAAATACGTGAGTTATTATATGACCTTAACCTTTTAATAATTTGCCAAGTACATGCCACATAGGTTGCATGTCAGCAAACACTTATCAAATAATTTTTTTTCCTAAGTGATGAAGAGTGGTGTTCCTAACTTTTGTGTTGTTCTTCTAGCACTAAATGATCTAGGGTATTATTGTCTTTTTCTATTTTATGATACAAAAGGTTTAAACTTTAATGATAATAATTAATATGTTAATTGATGTATTTATTTGTATAGGTATAAAGCAAGGGGAATTCGGTTGGATTTTGGTGATCTTGCTTATCTTTCATGTGAGAAAAGAAAGTTCTTTGAAACAATTGGAATGGAATTTGGAGTTCCGAGGTTTGGAAAGACTGGAATCACTGCTGGTAATGACCTCAATGAAGAAACTTTGGATGCTTTAAACAAACAGGCAGCTTTTTATAGATTTTTAATTCTTAAGAGTATTGAATCATTTAGTATTTTGTAACTTTGAGTATCGGCTTTAGCTTGGGCATAAGTTTCTCTTGAGAGAACTTTTCTGATTAGGGCAGGAGGATAATCATTTGGATTTCCTTTCTGATTTCTTCTTATTTCCATTTAGTAACCAATAGCTTCCTAGATCTATATATCTCATATTTGAGTTTCATTTATCTGTTATTGGATTTTGGTTTCTATCAAAGAGGTTGTGTGATGATCAAAATGTAAAATGAATCAATGGCTGATTTCATAAATACATACACTTTCAATGTTTAATATGCTCTAACAAGTCTTTTGGTTCCAGAATAATATGCTTTTTGACTAATTAAGTGAAACAACTTAGAACTTTTTTCTATGATCTTGAGAAGATCAAGTGTCCTTGCAGAATTTCTCAACAGTTCAAAAATAAATCTCGACTCAGACATCTACATTTAGGGTTTAATGAATGCTTCAACCATGATTTCATAATCTCAATCCCTATTACAAATCGTCCATACATACCCCCAATCGAAATGAAAGATACCACACGATTTCATAATTTCATAAGTACAATCAGAAAACATAAAAAATTACGTTCTACCAGACCAGGGTTCGAAGAACCTGAAGAGAAACATCTCACAGGGGAGTTTGATTAAGAGTATTTTGAGGGATTTTTCGACTCTTTTCTTAGGCAACTGACATTATATATACACGGTTAGCCAATCCTTTCTTCACCT